GGGGGCCTGGCGGGGGCGGGGGTGGCTGCCGAGAGACCCCCCTGCCGAGTTCCCGCCGGGCCTCGCAAGGGCCTCCCCGCCCCGCCTCGGCTCCCCTCCCGGAGGCCGGAACGGCGGTCCCGGCGTCGCGTCTTCCCCCCGGACCGTCGGGGCGAGCGGAGGTGCCGGGCTGCGGGTCTTTCCAGAAGCGCCCCGGGGGCGGCAAAGCCGGCGGTGGAGATGCCGGCGGGGCCCCATCGATCTCTCGGGGAAGGAGTGGCCGAGGGGCCCGCTCGGCCTGGGCAGGCTCCGCCGGAGAAGGCGCCCGCGAGTGGGCCCGTGCCGGGTTCGGTCCCCGGCAACTCCCAGGGCACCGGCACGGCGGGCGGCAGGGCCGGGCCTGGGAGAGGAGCAGGCGCTGCCACCGCCGCTGCTCTTGACCTCTCCCAGCCGGAGATCTCGCCGGGCCGCCTGACCCGCCTCTCACGGACTCCCCAGCGTGACACCAGCGGCAGAGGGAGACTGTCAGAGCAGGCCGGCGGGCTTCGACCCTGCCCCGGCGGCCCAGGCCCAGCAGGCGGCTGCTCTCCTCCTCCGAAGGCATCCCGCCCCCCGGAGCGCAGCGCCTTGCCCGGCGAGGGGGGGCGGCCTTCGACTCCCCGGCGCTCGCCCCCGGGAAGGTCTCTCCGGTGCTGCTGCTGGACTCGAACCGACCTGCTTCCCTAAAGGGGCAAAGCCATTCCCCCGGAATAAGCCCGCCGAGCAGACCTGCTCGGAATGGCTCCTTCCATCTGCCAGGAGCACTGGGTTTTGTGCGGGACAGCAGCCCCGGAAACCAGACGTGAAGGCAAACCCTCCCGCGCGGAGGAAAGACTCGACGCGGAGTCGCCCCTTTTCTCTCCGAGGTGTCCGCACTGTCATTTTGGTCACGCATTTGTCCCTATTGCTTTGAGTCCGTCCGTCCCCCCCTTCCACGTGTGTTTTTCTCCCTCCGGGACTACTAGAAGAAAAACTCTTTGGGGGGGGGGGGGGACCCTGAAGCAGCAGGGACAAACGAGTGACCAAAATGTCAGTGCCGCGGTCTCTGTAGCACAGCGACGGCCCAGACCCCTGCCATGCTTACTCGGAAGTAAGGCCCAGAGCTTGCGATGGCGCTGACTTCGAAGGCAACAACGGCAGGGGCAAAGCCATTCCCTGTCAGTTCAATCGGGTTGGTTTTCCTCCCCATTCGGTTCAGAGGTGTGGTGCCGACGCCGCGCCATCTACGACGCGGGATGGAGAGGGCGACTATGCAAATGGCGTGTACCTAATTCCTCACTTCTCCGCGTACACTTCACATTTGGATGAGTAGCCCTAAAACTGCTGGCTGTTGCAGCTTTCTTCTCCTGTTTAAACATTTTGAGATTTTATTCCCAGAGATCCCACCGTTTCCCCTTCCCATGGATAGAAGTTGTGGGGTATTTTTTTAAGTAACTCTTTTCTAGGAAAGGTCCTCTTTAGGAACGAATCAATGAAGACGTTCCTTGTAAATGGAAGATTTCTGACTTCTCTACCTCGTTTTGTTCAGTTTCTGACGCGTCTATCGCTCTTATTTGTCCCACAGCCGTCCTTTCAGTCAATCAAGCAAACGGTGGGATCTGGTCAGTTTATTGGGGATCTCTTTGTCCCCCCCCCTCCTCAGTGGATCAGCCTGATCTTGCTGGAAGGATGGGGCTGGGGCGGGCAACACGGTGGCTTGTTGGAGGGTCCGGGGGCCGGTCCCCCTGAGGACTCCCGTCTGGGGCCAGAATCGGTCCCGCCGGCCAGGCGCCGCTCCATTAATGAGCCGAATGCGGCGGGGAATTCCCACTTGCAGCAGGCAGCGAAAAGGGCAGCCCGGCCGCAACTTAACCAAGAACAGTTCTGTGTCGCCATTTAGCCAGGGACGCAAGTTAGACAACGTGTGATTGGCCACTTGGGAGAAGTTTTAAAAAGGTTTTGAAAAACAAACCCTTCGCGAATCGAAGTGGCCAGAAAGCCAGAGATCCCAGAAAACTCTGATGTACATACACAGGCGATCATAGCAATAATTTTTTTAAATCGGGGGGCCTGCTGAGCAAACGTAGCGAAGACATTAGTTCCAGGGTTTTCATGTCAGGTCAGGGAGAATGAAAATTCGTTTTGAAGTCTTTTTTTACGCAGAGAAATACGTTTGATTAAGGACTGTTTGCTGTCTCAGGAGGCCAGAAATACATTGTTTCGTCTCGGAAGTCAGTATTAAATCGCGGGGTTCTATTATTATTATTA